CGAGCCGGCGTCGGCGTGTCTGGTGGTCTGACGCATGGCGCGGCGACCCCCATTGGAGGAACCTGCCCTGACGACCAGCGGCGCTTCTGATTGGACTTTTTGGTTGGACCCGGTGCAAATAAAAGAAGCCCTGCGGCGCGTCGCGATCGGCAGTCCTGAGAGAGGAGTCCCCATGTCGGAGAGCCGACATGTGTATGAGTCAGCGGTCTTAGGCGAAAGGCTGATCTATGTGTTAGAGAGGAGAGCTCGGCTCTTCGAGTCTCTGTCGGCCCCAGTGCCGAAATTGTAACGCCTCTGTATATATGCTGTACATAAACCTTGTTTAACTCACCGTCGTCTCGTCCGCTCGTCTTATCAGCTCTGCGCAGAAGCAGTCGCGGGCTGAGAAACATACGCTACCAAACGGCTGGTGACCTTCCCGGCGGAGTTGAAAGCAGTGGCGCCGTCGGGGCCGTGTCGGCGTCGCCGTCTTTCGCAACAGTACATGATGGTTCAGCGAACTGGGAGCGCGGGGGTAAACACAGACACAAAGCGAAGAAGAGGCGCACAGCATGAGCGCTCGTGCTGTGTGCCTCTTTGCTTTGTGTCCGTGTTTACCCCCACGCACTCAGTTCGCTGAACCATCATGAATCCCCAACTAGCCCACCTTTCCATCCTATATGAGTACAATTTATTACTTATGTTCAGATCTGAAAGTGTAAACAAGCGCAATCGCATGTGGCTATGACATGCGTTTTTTGCGCCGGAACTTCCACTTCGAACATTGGTATGTTGAATAGTGGCGTAAAAAATTTCGTTTTTAAGCATTAAGATACTGCTTCCCGACGACACCAAACAAGTTAAAAATGTCTTGAGCACACACTCACTTCTATTCAGAGTATGTTTTCACTACCATCTCTCTTTTTGTAAAACCTTATAAATCTATGAAATGCGTACAATGCGCTAACATTTTCTTTGAAATGTGTTTGCATTTTTGCTGTCATTATGCTATAACAAAAGGCATGGAGATAAGCAACTGGTGAAGACGTTTTCAATGCATCTGTTTGGTTGCCGTCTCAACTACTCATTTGAAAACTGTATTTATGACGTAAATAATGCCAAACGCTAAAGCTACAATGCGAAACAGCGCCCATCATCTTGCTCAGGCGTTTTTACCATAATAATTCATGCAGCTCGATAACGTGACCACTCATGAAAAGATTTCGGTGGTGACATCACGAACTCTTCCAAGACACACAGCGCGTAGCTACTTCATGAGCATGCATTATCTCTAGGTTAATTCGTCGTTGTTGATCCGGATAACCAATAAGTATCGACATAACCAATAAAAGCTATGGCCTCAGAGACTGAGAGTAGGTGCAACGACGAATAACGCACTGCTAAGTGTGCACGCCAAAATCAAAATCCACTAGGAGAATGATTTCTCATATCAGTAATGTTCGCCTTACATTAACAGGTGCAGATCAACGTGACATCGTGAAAATATGATGAAACGGTTGTGAGGTAGGCGCTTGGGTGTGTTATTTACGTTTCATGTCTATTGAAGTTACATATACCAACTTTGGTATGTGAGAAGCTAGCGAAACGGCCGCCAGCGCACCATGAACGCGGCGTGTAGTCATGACTAGTCATAAAACGAAAATCCTGACATGCATTTTATGATTTACGCGTCACGGTCTGTCACCTATTTTTCTTATGCAGTCATGTCATACCATACCAGCTTTGCCAAATGTCATGTGAGCGAAACCCTCGCAAAAGCAGCAAGACCATGAAATGTAAATCATGACATTCATGATGTACAGTTCAATCGAGATAGCCAGAAGAGGTAAAATATATATATATATATATATATAAATATTTATATATATATATATATATATATATATATATATATACATATATATATATATATATATATATATATATATATATATATATATATATATATATATAGAAAGAGAGAGAGAGAGAGATACGCTCAAAGTCGCCGACGTTTGCTAAGAAATGCTTCGCATTGAAAATAACGGTAGAAGCTTTGTAGCAGCGACGTTTCCGTGCACCAGCGCGGACTGTATATCGACGTCTGTTGTTTTCGAGATTCTCAGGTATTGTTGGCAGAGGGAGAATGTAGTAACGCTTTCCTTTTTTACGTGCCAAAATTACGGTATGATGATCAGACAAGCCTTAATGGAGGGCACCGAAGATATCCTTCACCTGTTTTCTTTTCCGAAAATCAAAACGCACCAAGAGCTCAACGCCTTTTCATGGCGACTGCCACCAAATTTCTCTTGCTTGATTGTAGCAATATGAAATACAGGAAGAATGATATCGCTTTGCTTTTACTAGTATCAAAAGTTTCCGTCTTAATACTATCAATTATCGTTTGGCACCAACAACTACAACGCACACACGTGATAGTAGGGTCAGCACTTATCAGAAATAGCAATAATGTCTCATAGAAGTCTACTTAAATTGCACAGTACATGGGCTTTTAGCATTTCACTTGCGTCGAAAATGCCACCGCCTCAGTAGCGGCATAGCACTGGCACCTTTGAGGTCGGAGCAGTGTAACCGCTGTAACCACGACGACGATGACGACGATGAAATAAGCGAGTCAACGCACATGATTCATAGAAAGTGTGAACGCAACAACTGCGAGCACGCAACAACCTGAATCAGCCGGATCTACGTGCATCCTTCAAGCCGAAGCCTCGGCTAGACCGCTATCGCAATTCTCTCGCCGCTCTATCGTCGCATGTGCCGGGGGCTGGATATACATTCACCGCGCTTAGGCCGGCCTACGCAGGTAAGGCCGAGATGAAATAAAGTGAAGGAGAAAAAAGGCGACCTCAATTCGATCTAGCGCCGTGCACTTCCTGATGCCTGCCTATTTCTCACCCCGTAGGGCGAGTGCGAATACCACACACACAGAAAAAATAAAGAAATGCGGCAATTGAGTTTACGCGGGAAAAACTACCCAACGGCTGCGAGGAGGTTCGTTACACAGGACGTTGTCACCATATGAAACACAACGTGAACTCTCGACACACGATGAACACGCCCAGCTGCAGAGGACATCGCCGCGTGAAAGGTTCGTAGAGTCAGACGGCAAAGAGGCAGGAAAAGAATGACAAAACAAATACAACAGGGCACCTTCTTTCACTGAGAGGAGTTTGATTTGACACGGAAGGCATGACAAAGCTTTAGGCATGGATTTTTTCACTTAAAATGATCGCTTCGCTCCAGGAAGTTCATGTCTCTTTCTTATACCGTATAGTGTATCATTGGGCTAGTTACACATTTTTGTTCATTGGGCCAAGGAGTGTCCGAAGCGACGAAGCACAAGCGAAAAATCCTGTACCCTCTGCGTTTTTTGCTTGTATAAGACATCTTGAGAACATTCTACTTCATGATAAGACAGAAACGTAGACAGACTAAGAGCTTTTTGGTTCTTTATGCCTTCTGCTTTTGCGCTTGCCCTCCTAAGCGTTGGAGGCCAGTTGCTCCATGATCCGAGTAGAGGAAGTTTAACTTCTGGCCACCAGAAGAGCCGAAGTGGTGGTCATTAAGCCAAATAGACCAGCCATTCTTCACAGCGCTAAGCTGACTGGTCATTCATCACAATGATAATTTGCCTGGCCATAGCTTTGTGTACATCACCTAAACTGGCGGAATAAAGTTGTCTCATTCACCCCTCATTTTTAGGAATAAATAAATGGATAAATAAATAAATAAACATAACATTTCTTATTTAGATATTGTTACGGTGCATGTTACGGTGTATGATGGGATACCGAATGGACATGGGCCGGGCATGTAGCGTGCAGACAGGATAGACGCTGGTCATTAAGGGTAACTAACAGGATTCCCAGAGAAGGCAAGCGGGTTAGGGGGAGACAGAAAGTTAGGTGGGCAGATGAGATTAAGAAGTTAGCGGGTATAAATTGGCAGCAGCAAGCACAGGACCGAGTTGACTGGTGGAACGTGGGAGATGCCTTTGTCTTGCAATGAACTTAGTCAGGCTGACGATGATGATGGTGATTGTTACAGTGTGTACGCTGGTGGAATTTCACATAGAGTTACGTGGCCCCGATAGTTACTAGTGGCAGTGGATGCTTCGACATCTGGATAGGCAAACAACGGGCGTTACTGCTCAGGTAGACGCAGATCTTTTAAAGGGTTACCTCATACCAACTCTAGAAGATCGGCCAAGATTTAAGGATTGAAATGCTGAAATATTTTAACTGTAGAACTTTGATGGGTACCGCTTCCTGACGCACGCGTTCGCTTATTCCTTCTCTATGACATGGACGGGTAACGACACCTCGATCGCAGCTGCGTTGGCAACGGCCGCATTGACAATGAAAACAAACTGATCGGAGTTTTACGATGCCCCCGCCATTGTAACCGCAAGAAAGAGAGCAATGAGGAATAAAGTTGTACAAAGCAAATGATGATACCCAGTTAAACATAACCAACAAGTTAGTTCAAAATGCTTCAGTGCTACGCCACAATTAAAATTCAGATGCCCGAGAGTGAACAGGCGAGTTGCTAAATTGAAACACAATATGCATAGATGTCTGATCAATAATGGACTTTGCAGTGGCATCAGCTGTCTAGCTGTACCAAAAACGAAGAGAACAAAATTCCGCGGCAGATATCTCGATGGGATGCCACACTCCGCAGGCTCGGCAAAAATATTCATGAATTACGCTGAACAAAATGTTCGCACACAGAGTGAGTTATTTTCCTGTAGACAACGTTGCAAAGGAGAATGAAACGCTGACATTCTGTGAACTCGGTGTGAAAGAAAAAATTATGTCCCCACCTGTATGTATGTATGCACGTGTGGCGCTACCTGAAACCACAACACAAGGTATCACAGCGCGAAAACTCTTTCAAGTCGCGAGGGGCGCACGCTTTCGGAATGAAACCTATCCCGGCGCGACGTCGCAAAAGAAACAGATAGTCGCGAAGCGCCGCCGACGTTTCGGACTCACCGTAGGCATGGTGGCTTCGCCGGCGAGCTGCCTGTATTCCTCGGCGGCTGTCGACGAACAAAGCGAAAAACTCCTTTCAATTTTCGTCCCCATTCGCCGGGGAAGGGTTGAGAGAGGTAAAGTGGAGAGGAGGTGTCATTACCTCCTCCTCCTTCTTCTGTAACGTGAATTCCCTCTCTCTTCGTTTCTGATGCGTCGCGCATAGCCCTGGCACCTTGATCTCGCTTCCCGTGTATGCATCCTTTGTTTCTTTTTCTTTTTCCCTTCCCGATGTCTTTTTGCGCGCTCTCTTCTTCGTCGTCTTACCTGTCCTCCATACCTGCGCGAGCACGCGCGCGTGTCGTGTCGTTGCTTCTTTCGCTCCGCGCTTCTGGTGTTGTCGCTTTTGTTTCGTGAGATCGTCTGCACTCCTTGTTTTGACGCCGACTGCTTTTTCACATTCGCTGCCTGTTTCTTTCCGCTGCGCAGGTCTCCGAGGTAGAAACAAAAGCCCAGAATGCGAGTTACGTGATCGCGCTATTTGGTTCTTGTTTTGTTCCTTTCCGTTTCGTGTTTTGTCACTCTTTACTTGTCCATAACGCTGCGGTGTTTGCACCGACCTCGCGGCCATTACTTATACTCCCGAGAATGCCCGCTTAGGCTTTGACAGGTGAGAAATAGCGGGGGAGAAACAATACAGCCTGCTTTGCTTCTTCGCTCGCAATGCCAACTGTCGCTCGAGGTGTGTTGCAAAGGGAAGGTGTAATGGCCTATTGATATGACACCTCCCAGCAAGGGTGTTCGAACTCCTATAGGTAGACATATCGTGGTCCGAATACAGCGCGTTAAGATGACAGTGACAACTTGAAGCACGTTTGCTCGACATAATACCCGAGGGCAGCATGCGGCCCGAGATCATGTCGTTAGAGGAATGTGGCATTGTTGGAGACTTTTATAGCCGTGGTGGTACTTACATTTGAACCAAGGTGCGCGCTCGTGGTCGTTTTGTTCACTTCATATATGCCAAATTTGGTATTACGAGACGTGAACGGACGAAGAAGGTAATGATATGTGGGGTTTAACGTCTCTAAACCACCATATGATTATTAGAGACGCCGTTATGCAGGGCTCCGGAAATTTTGACCACCTGGGGTTCTTTAACGGGCACCCAACTCTGAACACACGAGCATACACCATTTCCGCCTCCATCGGAAACGCAGCCGCTGCCACCGGGATTTGTTCCCGTGACCTGCGGGTCAGCAGCTGAGTTCCTTAGCCACTAGCCCACCGAGGTGGGGCCGACAAAGAAGGCAAATCAAGAATATTTCTAAACATTAAATGGCAGGAAACACCAGTGAAGTATTTAGGAGTGCCGCTGGAGTTCTATCACGAGAGTGAACCATATTGGAAAAATAAACACAGGCATTGCGCAATGATGTAGAAAAATGGAAAGGTTGGGGTATTTCGATATTCGCACGGGCTACAACGTGCAACTTGTTTTTAGTGAGCAAGCTGTGGTACGTAATGCAGGTTTCGCTCTGCAGTAGAATAAGTGTACAGAAAATACACAGAGTATTTACAATTTTTATTTCGGGTTCTGTCCGGCAAAGATGCAGCCGCACAAACCTCTTCATAAAAGTTAGAATTGGCGGGCTCGGATTAGTTGATTTGTACAAAGACAACTTGTCAATCGTTTTATTTTTCTGCGTGATGTAGATGACCATTTTTTGAGAACTGTTATACAACTAAGGTGAGGGCTAACAGGATTTCTCTTATCGTCATCAAATGTGCAAGGACCAATACAAGGGTATTTAAAGGAAGCTGTTTCATCTGTTCACTTTTTGTCAGTGAGATTTTCGTTAGAATATCTGGCTGAAGTACCACGTCAAAAATTAAAGACCTTGTCAATGTTTCACTGCCTGTATACCATTGAACCATCAGCTATATTGTGCAGGTCCCGGCCAGGATTCTCTAAAACGTGTTAAAAGAATGCTTGTAGCGCCAGAAGTCGAACCTTTTTTCTTTAAATTACATACTGGTACCTTACCAGTTAAAACGTTGTTGCAGAATAGGGGAATATTTGTACCATGGAGCACACATTGCCACTTGTGCAGTAAACCGGAAACAATTGAACCCATGTTTATTGATTGCTGGAGCGGGGTCTTTTTCTCAGACATATTGCGAAGAATATTGAAAAGAGAATTAACGTTAAGTCTGCACCGCATCCGTTCTCTTTAGGGTAAAAACGAGGCAGGCGTACCTAATGATCTAATCGTGCTTCTGCGCCTGAACAGTAAATGGAAAACCCGATGTGCCTTTGAAAATGCGGATGTAGAAGTGCTATCTGTCCGCCAATATTTTTGCGAATCTTTGGGCCATTTTCTGGAACTGCTGAAAAGCGAAGAGAATGTACCAGACTGGACTGGGCGCATTGAGCGATTCTTACGAATGCCAAAATATTGATCAATAGTCAGGTAAGAGCTGACGGTACCTATATGAACTCTGTGGGTGTATATTGTGATGCACTTGTATATTGACAAATATGTAAATATGTATATTGTGAGCAGTCTTGATCTGCAAGGCAATCAAAAAATTGTTGTGGAGTGGTTAGCGTGGCGGGCAAGCAATTCATTGTACGTTGGGAGGCTGAAGGTTCGAATCATACTCGGTTGTGTTTTTCACAATCTTTTTTTTTGTCGTAGTGTTCGTATTTAGCTACCGTTACGATTCGGGCGCGCGGGGATCCGTCAAAAACAATTAAAAAGCCCAGTTACGGCTGAACTTCTGCTATTTTTCGTGAAGTGTACTGTTACTCTCTTTGGTGGGTCATGCTACTCTGCTCCGGGCAGCGTTATGCTACTTTGCTGAGGTGGAATGATTTCACTCGTTCGGGGGAATCACTGTACTCTGCCTCAAAAAGAGGTGATTTACTCGGAAAAAGAGAGTGAAAGATTAGACAAAAAAGTACCCTCAAAAAAAGAGTGCCCAGCACTTTCTCAGTTTTCAGAATGTACGCATTTAGCTATTTGTGTCGGTTGCCACTGATAATTGTGTTTTTACATCAACATGGCAGCACTCATGCAGAAGTGACTGCCCACTTCGATCCGGACGTGATCTTGCTACATGTCCACTGCGGTGACAACAGTAAGCAAAGGATAAAATCAGCCACTTATTTGTTTCATTTCACTATGCGGCTAAATTATCAGGTAAGTTTGGTCAATATTTGCGAGATATGCTGCTTGCTTAGGCACACCTGCTATGCCTAACGTGCCAAGGCAGTGTTCGGACGTCGTCGTCATACCGAGAACCCTTCATCTCCGAATATCGGATATCCAACGTGGCAGAGCATTCCGTGCGCGTCATATTCTCGTTCGGCGGAAACAAAAATAGAGAAAAGGAGCGTCGCAACGAGAGACACGAAAGGACGCGTCGACGGAGAATAAGACATACGAGAGCCACGAATGGCATCAGAGAGAAACAGCCACGAAGTGAAGTTATCCGCCGGCATGAAATTCTACTGGTCTGCAGCAGAGCAACAATTCACTCACGGCGTAGTTGCTTGTTTAATAGATTTACTGCATTTTAAGGCAAATAAAGTACCCATAATATCTATAATTCACAGAACAGATGCGGTGAGCAGACGACATGGTGCAAACGAATACATGTGGAGGGACTAAGCGCTCTTCCTATTGACAGAGGGGCCCGTATCCTCCCCAGTGGCGAAGGGAACTTCTGAAACAGATTATAGACTTATCGACTGTTGCACATCTCATAGTGAACGAAATGAAAAAAAATGCATATGTGTATAGGTGAGAATCATGGTACTCAACCCATCGCGCTGATATGTGGGTTTTCTACCATCTTTCTTTCAATAGTTTTCGTTGTATGTAGATGAGAAGTAAATAAGTAAGTAGTTCAGTCACGCTACGGCAGTGCGTAACAGGCGAAACACAAGCCAAACTCGCACAAAAGTCACAGCAAAACCTCGATTTGGTGTGAAAGCACGCAGACATTCAGGGAGAGTGAATCCTTTTGAAAGGCACAATGCGCTTTACTCGCCCGTAATGATTATGTTGCATACGCTTCGTGCACCGATCCAGTAGAGAGGAGCGCAGATATTAACAGTAAACTGCAGTCAAGGCATTTTATTCTTATGCATTCGGGTCAGAGCGCACGCAACGAAGGGACGCTGCGTGTATTTGTACATACACGCGGCAACGCCTCTCGACACTTGCGCGGAGATGGTGCTGCCACCTATTGGCTGATCTTGCCGCAAATAGTGGGCTGCAGTTACGAATATTTACGCCAGCAAGAGCTAGAACAGCTAAGAGAAGAATGGGGCGAGAAAGGGAGGGTGGAGGGGTGTAGCTAGGACAGCATTCCAGTTAACGATGCAACTTGAAAGAACTCCTTCTCCATACCTGAAATATCAGAAGTGGTTCCTCATGAAGGACATTTGAAGCCAGGATTCCAACAACATACTGATGCCGATCCCCAAAAAGACTGAGATCTAGACACCGGTGCTAAGTGAGGTTTCATGGTTGAGTACTAAGACATGCTGACAGTGGAGAGTGTGTCGGGGAAAAAAGGATCAATACTAGTCATGCCTGTGAAGTTCGTATTAACATTGGTAATAAATATTTAAAAATCACCACCCAAGCACTCCGTTCTTATGGTTAAACAGCGAAGGCTGAAACGTGGGGCCCCGCTGTTTAGGAGTGAGTTCAACCCGACGTGGCACTGAAGCTTTCCACAACTACTGATTACATCTTCGCGCTCCTTACGGAAGCTAGACACACGTTTGGCTTGGTTTTGCACGAGTGTTTACTTCACACGCCACACAATTTGTCTCGCATGATCATGGTCATGCAGGAGTGTAATGTGTGGTGAAATGCGCTTCGCAATGCGTTCATCACAGCGGTTGTTTTCAAACCAACGGCAGTCACAGAAGTCGCAACCGAAGCCAATGCGCCTCTGGAGAAATGCTCGCCGAGATCGCGCGTTCGCCCCGCGGAACACGCTCCCGCAATCATGAAATTTACACCACAACGGGTTGACCTTGTTGAGACGCTCACCTTAACGACCATGGCCGGCGTCGCGCGTCCCGGAAGGTACTTCGACGTGCGGAACATGACGGTGTTGTGTGTTTGTGGGAGCATGGACTAGCAGATAGTGAACTTTGGACACTTGCTTTGCTGCCACGGGACAGAGATCGAAGGTGAACGATGTTTACCTCACTTTTTTGACCTGTTTTGTGACACGACAAAATGCCGGCGGGAAAGCTCTGTCAGCCTAAGCGCTCCGACTAACTTGGCAGGAGCGGCGGTCACTTTTCCTTTGTTCTGCC